AGAGATGGCGGAAGAGTCAGCACCTGTGATCAGTGGAAATTCTCCAACCTGAAGAACAGACCAGTAGGTCAATCCAAAGATCTACCTGACATGTAACTGGAAATCAATTCGTGAGTTGAATAGTTGCAGGAAAGCATATTATTATACTATATAACATAGACTCTGAGAAGTTAAGCACCTTGTTCATGGCCACAGATCCAGGATGAAACCCAGACTTCAGAGCCTATGATCCCATCATGTTCTGTTGGACTAATTTTTATATTTGAATGTTTTAAATTAGGCCTTTTTAAAAAATGACAGGGCTGGCTGTGGTGGCACCTGCCTGTAATCCCAGCACTTTGGGAGGCTGAGGTAAGAGGACTGCTTGAGCCCAGGTATTTGAGGTTACAATGATTTATGATTAGGCCATTGTACTCCAGCCTGGGTGAAGGGGCAAGATCCCATCTCAAGAAAAAAAAAAAAAAAAGCCAGGCTCGGTGGCTCACGCCTGTAATCCTAGCACTTTAGGAGGCTGAGGCGGGTGGATCATGGGGTCAGAAGTTCAAGACCAGCTGGCCAAGATGGTGAAACCCCATCTCTACTAAAAATACAAAAATTAGCCAGGCACAGTGGCAGGCACCTATAATCCCAGGTACTCGGGAGACTGAGGCAGGAGAATTGCTTGAACCCATGAGGCGGAGGTTGCAGTGAACTGACATCGTGCCACTGTACTCCAGCCTGGGCAATAGAGTGAGACTCTGTCTCAAAAACAACAACAACAACAAAAAAACTGATAAGTGTAAGTTAGAAGCTGCTTAAAAGCCTAATTAAGAAGCACTGCCCTACTGTCTATTGCCAGGAGCTAGGAAGGCTGGTAGCGTGGGTATGAAGAGTGGCCAGTACCTGCAGTGAACACTTTTCCTGCACCAGAGATCACCACCGCCCGACAGTCATCGTCTCTTGAAATCTTGTTGAAGCACTCTACCATCTCTCTGTGAAGCAATGAGTAAAGGGCTACAGATGGGGTGGGAATACCCTGCCCTCATGTCCATCTCCCCTGCCCACGTTCCCCTCTCGCCCAGTCCCGCAGCCCCCCGCCTCCCCGTGCAGGCAGGCCTCCAGGATCTGCAGGTTGGACCTCCAGAAAACCCTGTTCATAGCATTCCTCTTGTTGGGCCGGTTGAGCTGAACGTGCAGAACATGTTTCTGTACAGACGTCACACGAAGGGACTCATAGCTGTGGTCTGGGGCTTCACCGAGGGCTACTCCAGAGGCCTCCTGTTTTGCAGAGGAGCCAGTGAGGCGAAGGCTAATACTGAGGCCCGGGTGGTTGGAGGCTGTCAGTGCTGGGGAGAAAGGGAGAGCTTTTGATGACCCTGGACTGCAAGACACAGGCCTATAGAATTAGGGAGCCCTGGCCGCGTGCGGTGGCCTGTAATCACGCCTGTAATCCCAGCACTTTGGGAGGCTAAAGCGGGCGGATCATGAGGTCAGGAGTTGGAGATCAGCCTGACCAACATGATGAAACCCCATCTCTACTAAAAATACAAAACTTAGGCCGGGCGCGGTGGCTCAAGCCTGTAATCCCAGCACTTTGGGAGGCCGAGGCGGGTGGATCACGAGGTCAAGAGATCGAGACCATCCTGGTCAACATGGTGAAACCCCGTCTCTACTAAAAATACAAAAAATTAGCTGGGCGTAATGGTGCATGCCTGTAATCTCAGCTACCTGGGAGGCTGAGGCAGTAGAATCGCTTGAACCCGAAAGGCAGAGGTTGCCGTGACCCCAGATAGTGCTTCTGCGCTCCAGCCAGCCTGGGCAACAAGAGCAAAACTCAGTCTCAAAAAAAAAAAAAAAATAAGGGAGCCCTTCAGAAGGGAGCACAGAGCACAGGGACCCCTGAGTTTAGGGGGCTCGAACCCTTCGTGACCCGGGATAGACCTCCCCGTCCTACAGCTGCTATGACAGCACGACAGCGCGATGGACCCCCACAAGTCAAAAGGTGACTCACGCCGGGTCAGCAGGTCACGGAGTCTGCGAGAAGCCACCATCCTTGCCGCCATCGCTCCCGCCTTCGTCTACTGCGTATTCTGACCCACAAACCCGCCGGTTAGCCAAGGGGGCGGGCACAAAGGGCCTCCATGTTGAGCGAGGGCGTCGATGCCACAGCACAACAAGCAATGACGCCGTTCGTTCCGCCATCTTTACTAAGGGCAGCCGAGTTCCGGTTGCCTTTCATAGTGACAGCCAGACTCAGAAACGGACCCTTTGCCCCAGTGGGAACCTGGCCTAAGCAAATAGTTCCCGCTAAAGTTCAACACAGTGCTGTTTCATAATGATGGAATAACTCGTGACAGCTGAAAAGTTCAAGGACATAATGGCAGCAGCGCTTGTAATCATGGATGTATATATCAAGTAAACTAAAAAGAAAAAAAAACTTGCAGGACTGTGAGTTTACCCACGTAAAGGAATGAGTACAGATGGGCCAATATTAAGCGCTGACTGTATAATATGAACTCCCACGAGATCATACTGTTTCCCACTGTATGCAGAGGAAACTGGCCCAGGCACCAGAAGGCACTAGGTTCAAGGTCGCTGGGCTTCAGGAGGGCTGAAGCAGGATTACCTGGCTCCAGAGTTCATGTTCTTTTTTTTTTTTTTTTTTTTTTTT